CTTTCCCTCTGCAGTGACTACAGGAGGCAGCTAGGAAGATTAGCTCTTCCCTTAATTGTGGGCTGTGATTTGCAGTGTAAGGACATATTAAACAGGACAGGTGAACAGATCCCTCCAGGCCTCTCATCTACCCCTTCCTCTCAGGAAGGTTGACCAACTAGTTCAAAGAACACCTGAACTTCCCAGTTTCCTACTCAAGAGTATTAACTACACCAAAACAGGCATCCATGTACCTTACTATATCACACTGTAACTGAGGTGATTCTAGAGATGCTTTATGAACCAGTCATCTCAGCTACTGCAGCCAACTTTAGTGGCTACAAGGGACAGCTGTGTCAGCCATCACATTCGAGTCAACATCCTAAAATTAGCCCCTGTGACTCTTCCTCCTCTTCTTCCTAACTACCTAGCTTTTGTGAATCCAAGACATTCGTTATGTGTTGTGATCATACAATGGCCTAGCTCTTTCTCCACTGTCAACAAGTTTGAATAACTTTTGTTTGTTAAAGGCCAAGAGGAATATCAGGACTAAAAGTCGTGTTTCTCCTGCAAATCAAAGTAACTCAAAACTCAGTGTGAACTTGCAAGTTCTCCTTGTACATATATAACAAGATCCAACCTGTAACAAATTCATAGGGAACTACAAACAAAGAGAGACCGAAGGACTGCAGTGGGTATACTCCATCTATTTTCCCTTGTTCTTCTCTAGTGTCTTATTAGTCCAACTTTGGTAACAGGAGAAAGGCCCAGAAATCCAACATTTCTATTCCTGGATTTTATCCAGACATTCACACAGAAATTAGTATTTTTTTTCCAACAGTTTTCTGAGCAAGAACATTAATAGTTTTATGTTCATTAATTTAACTCTAAAAGAAATGAAGAATCCCAGTTTGCTAATGATGAATTTGTCTGTAATCATTCAAAATAACAGATTATACACTATCTATCCCTTCCCAATTTTGTTTTCGCAGTTGGCTGATTTCATTTACTTACCGGTGTAGCACCAGGAAGCGGTTTTCCATTGATTTTGTGTAAACATTTCTCTGCAGTAGCTAGATCTGCAAATTCTACAAAGCAATAGCCTGCTGGAATTCTGAATATAGACACAGGAGGGGAGAGAGAAAGATTTCAGATTTAAAACACATTTGAGGAGGAATATTATACTTTTAGATAACTGGTAGGAAATTTGTGATAGTTGCAATACTTAGAACAATTTATTGTTCAAACTATTAAACATTAGGTACCAAAAAGAAGCTAGCAAAATAATCTTGGATCTCAAGTAAAAGGACAGCCCCTACTTACCAGTAAGTCACGTCAACATAAGCCTATAGAAAATAGTTTTGCTCATAATTAGTTTACTTCCTACTTCCATTGACTATATAAATTTTCCCACCCAAGCTTAAACAACTGAAAACTGAAATGACAACATTTATAAGAACATGAAACTGCTTTATTCTGTGTATGGTCACTCATTTTATTTCAAATTAACTCAAAAGATTCTCATATGGCTCCTTCTAAACTCAGACTTCCCACCTCTGCCAGCACCACGTAGCTGCACTAGTGCAACAATTAACACAGACTAATCACTGAAGCCTTCAGCCTGCAGGTGTAGTTCCCAAAGGACTGTATGGCATACATACATCGCTCGGAATGAGTGCTGAGGCACTGCAAGGATGAGGGCCAAACCCTGGTGTGCTGATGGGGATTGTCCTCTCCATTGCTATCATCAATAGATCCATATTGCTGGCAGCAATGGTGAAAAGCTCAAAGGGAAAATCACCATCCATCCATCCATCCATCCCATGGACAGGACCAGAGTGATGGGCAGAGGGCAAAGGGTTTAATCCAAACGCACTGGTAGAACAGACTGAGAACAAGCATAAACAGTTACCCTGTCAACCTGTTTCGAATGATTTTTACACTCAGTACGAGCTCTCCCATGGTGGCAAAGGCTCTTGAAACAAAGTTTTCATCCATATAGGGCTCCAGCTATAAAAGCAAAAAAAAATAAAAAGAAGTTAGACGAAGGCATCTACAAAAAGGAGAATATATGTGTCAATGTCACCCTCAGCAGTTAAAACATGATTGAGAAGTATTTTACCCTTACACTTCAAAAAGAAGATTCATTTAAGAGGGTCGATGCCACTCAAAACCAGCAGGCATGCATGAACCAGGCTCAACAGTCTGCAAAGTGGAACCCAAGAGACAGCATGAATTTCAGAGAACAGGGAGCTTTCACAGAAGGACAAAAGCCACTCAGAAACATACAGCAACAAACTGAGCGTCGTTCACTACGCGGAGCAGGGCAGAAGGAGGTGGCAGGCTCCTTCTCTGGAGGGCTGGGCCAGCGCTATCGGTACGCAGGTATGGCAGAGCCCCAGGGTGCAATGACAAACGGGTGGCACACGTCAGGTCACACAGCCCCTGGTGAGATGGGGTAGGGGTTGGCAGAGCTGTGGCCAGCTCACATCACCGTGGAGATAACGCAGGGCAGCACTTGGAGGGGAAACCTCTAACCATGTGCTTTGTGCTGCACATGGGTGCACTGACCGTGTTTGTCACAGGTGAGGGTGGCACTGTGATGTGCAGGGCAGTGGCAGTGTGTGAGTGAACACGCTGGAGGGCAGGTGGCTCTATGGTGTGAGCGACTGAAAAGTGTGAAACAGCACTGAGATTGGGATCAATGAATGATGAAGGTGCTGAGGGAAAGGATGTGTCTCTCTGTGTGTGAGAAAGTGGAGGAGGGAACTCACAGAAATTAACAGTTTTGTGAAATCCATGTACTGATGAGGAGCTAACACGAGGCTGGGGTGTGGGGGAAGCACGTGTAGCTCCATCTCTACAGGTATATACACCTGTGTGAGTGAGACAGAGGGCTTCGTGGTAACAGACAGCCCTCGAGCATGTCCGTGTGTCTGTCAGGTACCAGGTGGCTCCGTCACTTGTGTGCGTGACCGAAGGTGCAGACTTGTGCAGGATCTGAGAGTGGGTAACCACGCTGCACTCGCACGTGCAAAAGGTGGCTGATGCCCTGCAGAGGTGTGAGTGTGAAGCAGATATGACTCGGTTACACGTGCTGGAAGCAGGAGGGAACGCTGCTCTGTAAAGACAGGCCAGGCAGAGGGTGATCCTGTGGCATGTGTGGGTTCAGGAGAGCCAGGCTCATAAAGGCAACAGGTGACCATTGCTTGGGTATGTACGTGTGTGTTTCAAAGAGCAGCGGCCACTTGTGAGAGAGGTGACTGCAAAGAAGATGTTGGAGAGGTGGCAGATAACCCTTTGTGCGGGTAAAGAGAAAAGGGACTCTGCAGAGTGCGTCTGCATGAGTGGCAGGTGGTGGAAGCCTCCCTGGTGTGTCAGTGTGTGTGTGCAGTGTAATGGTAAACCTGGTGTAAGCGCGTGTGTGAGAGAGAAGCAGCCAGTGGGATCCTCAGTGACGTGCTGGGCTGTGCGTACACACACCTGCGAGAGGCTGAGGAAGGTGTGTGTACGTGCAAGAGGTGTGCACGAGTGTGCAAGAGGGACTGTGCAATGTGTTGGTGTGAGTGGAGAAAGATGTGCGTGGAAGGAACAGGCAAGATGGGAACTGTGACGCGCGGGTCTGACCGCACGTGGATGTCTGTGCACACCACAGGCACGTGGCAGGAGCGAGGACGCGACGATGCAGCGGTGGGATTGTACCTGTGACCGTGCAAAAGCGTGGTGGGCAGCACAGACAGGACAACACGACGTGAGCACGACGTGGCAGAGCACTAGAGCACGCTGGGTATGAGGAGGCGCACGTGAGCGTGTGTGAGTGTGCGAGGTGGGAAGCGGTGAGGGACGTGGGTGCAGGAGTATGAGGGTGCACGCAGTGTGTGTGAAGGGCAGACAACGAGGGACACTGTGGGGTGTGTATCACTGTGAGTGTGCCCACAGCGTGCACGTGAGCAGGCAGCAAGAGACACCCCGCAGTGAGGAAGCATCTGTGAGTAGTGAGCGTGCTGCCAGGTGTACACCCGGGCAGGAACAGGAAATACTGGGGTGTGTAAGTGCTTACGAGTGTGTGTGCGTGTAGGAGAGTGCAAATGTGTGCACGTGTGAGGGATGCTCTTGGTTAGGAGCACACAAGCATGTGAGTGCATGTGTGAGCGCCTGCAAGTTGGCACAAGCGTGTCAGCCCATCAGCATGAGTGTGAGCATGTAAGTGCCTCAGAGTGTACGACATGAACACCTAAGCGCCTACAAGCACGTGAGCAAATAAACCAGCATATAAGCCCGAGAAGCACGTGAGTGTACAGGCTAGTGAGTGTGTAAGTGAGTGTGCAAGAGCACAAGCAAAGTGTGAGCACGTCAGGGCCCATGATTGTGCCTGCCTGCCAGCGTGAGCACAGGCAGCACAGGACACTGGTGTAAGTGCTACACTGTGCCTGTGACCCTGGCTGTGGGCAGGCAACAAGGGTCACACTGTGCTGGGGGTTGTGTGTCTGACTGTGTCTGTGAGTGTGTAACTGCCCCTGAACGTGCCTGCTGTGCCAGGGTTAGTGACTCTGAGTGTGTCAGCGTGTGTGTCAGCATGTGTGAGGGTGTCTGTCAGCCTGTGTGAGCCTGCCAGCGTGCATGGGAGTGTGTGTGTGTGAGAGTGTCAGTCAGCTCGGGAGTTTATGCGTGTGTCAGAGTGTGTGAGGGTCTGTGAGGCTGTGTCAGTGCGTGAGGGTGTCAGTCAGTGTGAGGGTGTCAGTCTCAGGGTGTCAGTCAGTCAGTCAATGTGAAGGTGTCAGTCAGTCGGTCAGTGTGAGGGTGTCAGTCAGTCAGAGGGTATCAGTCGGTGTGAGGGTGTCAGTCAATGTGACAGTGTCAATGTGAGGGTGTCAGTCAGTCAGTGTGATGGTGTCAGTCAGTCAGTCTGAAGGTGTCAGTGTGAAGGTGTCAGTGTGAGGGTGTCAGTCAGTCGGTCAGTGTGAAG